GTCCTTTGCTCTTATAGGCTGGTAATATTTGTAGGCTCCTATGCAAACTGGTGTGAAAAAATTAGTCGTTGATGATAAATGTGTCCCAGTTGTTACCAGTGGTATGCAGAATGAGGTGATTCCCAGTCTCTTTGCATGGTTGCCATTTTAAAGCTGGCATTAGCCAATGAAACAGCGGAATGTTAATTCGCCTGCAAGTTAATTGCTTCTCATCTGCAAAGAAGATTCACATCTCTTTTCTGTTTTCTGTGCTGAAAGATGGCTCTGAGTGTCTGAAGAGGTCCTGGTCCGAAAAGTGGTGGAAGGCCCGTGCCAAGGCTAAGATCTGCTCTTGCTTATGGGCTGGGTCTGTCAGTTCCTCGTTGGCCAGTTCATCGTTTGCGCTTGCGTAAAGCAACTACTCCGAACGAGTTGGAGTGGAGCGCCGGTGTATCTTGCGGCAGTGGCTGGATTACTATCCGCTGGATGACTTGGAAGCTGGCGGGCAATGCAGCACGGGACAACAAAAAGACTCGTATCATCCCGCGCCACCTGCAGCTGGCCATGCCGCAACGACGAGGAGTCAACAAGCTGCTGGGCAAGTCACTCATCGCGCAGGGTGGTGTCCTGGCCCAACATCAGGCTGCTGTGCCGAAGAAACTGGAAGCCAGCACAAGGCCAAGGGCAAGAAATTCAGAAAATAACTATCTGGATCTTACGGGTGAGTTCATTCTTTCACCAAGGTCTTTTCGAGCCTACGCCATTTTATTCATTAAAGGGCTTGCATTTTCCGTACTTAAGTTGCTAGTTTGTGACATGAGTAGATGTCTACTAAAATGAGAAACGTGAGGTTTACAGTCCATGTTAAGGTTGCCATAATAAATTTTAAGCAATTAAGCGCCGGTTGGGGAGAAAGCTTGCACAACAGGTAAGCTTTAAAGACATTAGCAGTCTAGTCCTTCGGGTTTACAAACCTGTTAAAAGTGTGGTAGAATACTGGTAGAGGCATAGGCTTTAAAAGTAAGGAATATCCAAATCTAATAAGCAGTAAGACACGCTTTTGTATCTGCATCTTAAAGGGATCCTGGCAAGCTATAAAGGTTTTTGGATTTGGGGTTTTGCTTTTCACAAGCCTATCTGGCTCTATTGAGCTGTCCCTAATCAATTTTTAGTAGGAAATCAAAAGCCATTCCTGGCTTCAGATGGTTCTATGGCAGATTAAAGGTTTGGCGTCACTTTGGAAAGGGCACACAGCAATTTCTTTATACCATTTATAATTTGGCTATTTATAGACACATTTTAACCATCTTCAGTTTACTTCTTAAAAGGTAAAGGATGCTTTTTTGTATTTTATGAAACTTATATTAGTATTCAGTTTGGACTGTTACTTAGAGTTAATAGTCATAGTGCGATTGGGGCAAATCGTGTTAAATCTAAAAGTTTAAGTAGGCAAGTCAAGGTAGTGTGGTGAAATTTAGCCTTTTCAGAACTTAATGGGGTCGGGCCGTGGGAGACGGCCAACACATCAGCGCGCCTTTTTAAAAGTTGATCAAAAGCAAATTTAGGCCCGCCAAAATTGTTGTATATAGTATTACCATTATGCAGATGTAAATACATCATCCTAATAATTAGATACATTTTAAATATCAAGCAACATTTTAAATAAAAAGACTTAAAGAAGCGACAGACGAAGTAGTGAACACCAGGAATTAAAAGGGAGGATCGAGGAGCATTTCCGATACTTGAGTAAATGACGAGGAGTGTTCCTGTGATCAGTGAACGTCACCAACCATACCTTCGTTTGAACCTGCAGATGGAAATGACTGCTGTCAATGCAAGGAACGGATTCTCTCTTATATATACAGGATAGGCAAGGAATACTTTCGTTTTCCCGTCAGCTATCTGTTTTTCTAAATTTGTGTGGCTCGCCGAGAGCAGACAGCCCGCCAAGTCACGCGTGGGAAGGCGCCGCGCGATGCAGCTGCCACACCAAGGCGGGCCCGCAGAGCGCGCCGGCCACGGCGGCGTGATAAAGCCCATCCACCCGCTACGCTGGCTGGCCCCGTGGCCCCTGCGCGAGATCCGCGCTACCAGGTTCAAGTCTACGAGCTGCTGATCCGCAACTGCCTTTCCAGCGGCTTGGTGCGTGAAATCGCGCAGGATTTCAAGACGACCCTAGCGTTTCCAGAGCTCGCAGTGATGGCGCTGCAGAGCGCCTGCGAGGCCTACCTGGTGGTTCCTTCGAGGACACGCAACCTGTGGCCGCCATCCACGCCAAGCGCTGTCACGATCATGCCAACGACATCCAGCCTCGCTCGCCGAATTCGTGGAGAGCGTAATTGTGGCTCGTGCTAGTTTCTTAACTCCAAAGGCTCTTTCCGCCCCAACCATTTTCTATAAAAGATGCTGTGTAACGTGTTACCTGTCCACAGACGGAAACCTGATCTCCCTAGATGTATTCTCACTTTTACCAGAGCTCATTGGATTGGTTGGGTGGCTCTTTTAGGACGCTTTAAGAAATGTCTGCAGGGGGGCAGCCTTCTTGGGTTGGGCCGTTTTAGTGGTTGTTGTTGCGCTTGGAAGCTGAGGCTTTATTTGGAGTCTTGCGGCTTTTCCAGCTGGTCTGCTTTCACTTTTTCACTCTGGCCCTGTGGCCCTGAGCTGCTGTTAGGCTCTCTGGATTGCTTGTCCTCTGAGAGCCGCTGCGTCGCTTGTTGGTGTTTGGCTGCCACAGCAGTTCGTTGGGCTTGGCCTGTTTCCTAACCCGTAATTTGGTTTTCCCAGAGGCTTGCCTAATTGTATTTAGCTTGAAAGAACCCGAGGCAGCAGTGCCTTGGTCTGCATATGAGGTTCCCTTGTTCAGCCAGTTCTGTAAGCCCGGCCCAGTTGATGAGGCTATTCTCCACCGTCGTTAGCCATCCAGTGTGCCGCCGCTTTCTTGAGGGAGGGACACAGGGCCGCCCGACTCCTTGGAGTGCCTTGCTAAGGCTTTGGTGATGAACTGGACACGCGGCTGGTGGCGCAACACCCTGCGCTACACCTGTGACTGTAGAACGATCTCCTTTTTACACGCTGTCCTTTTTCGTGGGATTATAAAGCAGGAGTCAGAGCAGGGTGCTATTTCGGACAAGTCATTAGATTTGGATATCCATCCAGTTAAAATTAAAAAAAAGCTTCTAGTTTAGCCTGTCTGGGAGTGTGTGTGTGAGTTCATGCGTACGTCACATGTGTGACAGCTGGCGCGTTGATTGGTTAGCTCAGCTCAACTCTTTCCAGCTTTGCAGCCAACCTAGTTCAGCTGTGCCTGAATTATTGTGTTGAATTCAGAAAGCAAAATATAAAATTTCCCAGGGGGGAAAATCAGCCCACCAATTCGTATTCACAATGACTGTGGTCGACTGAAGCTTGAGAGTCTTTATATTTCTTCTCGCGTTATTTATCTCGTGGGCCCACCCCCCCTCCCCAGGCTTATCAAAAGCCTAACTCTGAGATTCATTCACAGGTCAAAATACATACTACTGTAATTTTGTTTTATAAATATAAATTCTTCCCTTTGTGCCTTCAATGTGCTTGCTCTCTAATATATTTTACCATTCCTGGCTTCTCATGATTCAACAACTGCTTGATTTTTCATTTGATTTTACCTCAGAACATCTATTTTTACATAGAGTACAGGCTCTTTTGTCATTTCTCCAGCAACAAGAGCAGTTAAGGGCACTTAGAACAAGCTCTTCTGATAGAGAATTAGTTTGGGTTGTAAAAGTCTTATTAATAGCTTATGTATTCTGGAGGTGAAGTTATATCTGGGGGGAAGGTATAGCAAGAGCTGCAGGCATGTCTCTAGGAACAATGGGGAATGCAATGATCAATTGATCCTCCTGACATGGGACTACGGAATATTGCATGTAACTGATCTCAGGGAGATCTAGGAAAAGGCACAAAGGGAGAGAGTTGGACTCCTTGATGGGTTCAAAAATTCTTGTACTTTTATTGGTGGCATATGGGGGAGAATCAATTAAAATGTTATGAGTCTTTCAGTATAGAGGTTCGTCAATTGCTTGGACATAGGAGCATAGACTTTGGCAAAATATTCTAACATAGTGTTGTGTTTTGAAGGCATGCACAATGTCTATGTCTCACAACTATGCTGACATTGAGGGCAGGAGAAATGCGGAACACGACAGAGGCAATACCTATGAGGTGTGGAAGTGTTCACACTTCTGTGATCCGCATTAAATTACAAATGACTTATTACTTATGTACATATCAAACTGACATGAAGTAGTGAAATTTAAATAATAAAAATTAAAGACATAATAGGTCTGAGATGAGAGACCAGCTGATATAATCATTATTTGACTGTTGTATTCACTTTTTTGCAGCTCATTATTCTATCTCAAAGAGGTTTGAATATGTATTGAATTATAATAGTCAGCACCGAACGAAAGAAGAATTTACTTCTACTGTAGGAATTCCCAGGTATCTGTCCTTTTACTTTTTTCATGAGTATCATGACTTACTTTCATATAGATAACACTGAAGGTCTCTCCCTGTAGGCCAGTCCTCTTGCCTAACACCAACTTCTATTCTGGTTATTGTTGGATACCGCTTGTATCTTCTGCCTATACCAGACTCTCAATCATATCGCATCTCATTATAACGTAAAATCTTTTTTTTTTTTTTTTTGAGACATGCGTCTCCTTTGTTGGCCCGGCTAGAGGAGTGCCGTGGCGTAGCCTAGCTCAGCAACCCTCAACTGCCTGGGCTCGAGTTCCCTGCCTCGCAGCCTCCCGGGTAGCTCAGGTGGTCGGGAACAATTGCAGTCAGCACACCCTGGAGCATCCCGTGGTCAGCACGTCATGGAATGCATTCTTCTCGGAGCTATAGCTGGAATTTTCCAGGGCGAAGTCCGTGTGTAGGACGAGTCATAGGGGAGTTGAGGGTCTTTGAGGGTCCTTGCCTCTAACAAGTCATGAACTCATGAAAAAGTAAATAGGACAGTACCTTAGAGAATTCCTACAGTTAGAAGTAAAAGTTCTTCCTTTGTTGGTGCTGTATATAATCAACTACAATATGTCAAAGCCTCTTTGAGATTAGGAATACATGAGCTGCAAAAAAAGTGAATACACAAAGTAAATATGATTTATATTTAGCTGGTCTCTCATCTCAACTATTTTAATTATGTCTTTAATTTTTATTAATTTAAAATTTACTATTTCATGTCCAAGTTTGATATGCTACATAAAGTAATAAGTCATTTGTTAATTTAGATGGGATCAAGAAGTGTGAAACCTTCACACCTCATGGTATTTGCTCTGTCTGTTCCCAGCATTTCTCTGCCTCATAGTAGTAGTAGTTGTGAGACATAGACTTGTGCATGCTTCAAAACAAACATATGTTGAATATTTTGCCAAAGTCTATGTTCCCTATGTCCCCAAGCATGACAGACCTCTATACTGAAAGACTCATTAACATTTTAATTGATTCTCCCCCATTGCCACCAATAAAAGTACAAGAATGTTTTTGAACCCATAAAGGAGTCCAACTCTCTCCTTTGTGCCTTTTCCTAGATCTCCCCTGAGATCAGTTACTGCAAATAGTCCCCATGTCAGGAGGATCATTGATCATTGCATTTCCCATTTTCCTAGAGACATGCTGAGCTCTTGCTTAACCTCCCCCCCAGTTAACTTCACCTCCAAATACATAAGCTATTATAAGACTTTTACAACCCAAACTAATTCTTCTTATCAGAAAGAGCTGTTGTTCTAAGTGTCCCTTACTGCTATTGTTGTGGAGAAATACAAAAAGAGCCTGTTACTTCTTATGTAAAATAGAATTTCTGGGTAAATCAAAATTGAAAATCAAGCAGTTGTTGAATACTTGAGAAGCCAGGAATGTGTAAAATATTATTAGAGAGCAAGCAATTGAAGGCACAAAGGGAAGAATTTATATTTTAAACAAAATTTAAGTAGTTGTATTTTTGACCTGTGAATGAATCTCAGAGTTAGGGGCTTTTGATAAAGCCTGAGGCCAACGAGATAAAAACTGGAGAAAGAAAATATAAAGATCTCAAAGCTTCAGTCGACCCAGTTCATTGTTGAATAGAATTGGTGTGATTCCCCCTGGGAAATTTTAATTATTTTGCTTTTCTGAATTGCAACAGACATAATTCAGGCATAGCTGAACTAGGTTGCTGCAAAGCTGAAAGATTGAGCTGGTAACCAATCAACGCGCAGTGTCACAGCATGTGACGTACGCATGAACTCACACACACACTCCCAAGACAGCTCAACTAGGAGACTTTTTTTTTATTTTAACTGATGGATATCCAAATCTATGACCTTGTCCGAAACAGCACCTGCTCTGACTCCTGCTTTATATCCCACGGAAAAGACAGCGGTAAAAAGAGATGTCTACAAGTCCACAGGTGTAGCGCAGGGTGTAGCGCCCAGGCCCCGGTGTCCTAGTTCATCACCAAAGCCTTAGCAAGCCTCCAAGGAGCTCGGCGCCCTGTGTCCCCTCGCTCAAGAAAGCGCTGGCACCTGGTGGCTACGAGGTGGAGAATAGCCTCATCAAACTGGGGCTTAAGAACCTGGTGAACAAGGGAAACCTCATGCAGACCAAGGGCACTGGTGCCTCGGGTTCTTTCAAGCTAAATAACAAGTAGGCAGCCTCTGGGGAAACCAAAATTCGGGTTAGGAAAGCAGGCAAGCCCAACGTAACTGCTGTGGCAGCCAAAACAACCAACAAAGCGACTGCAGCGGCCTTCCCAGAGGACTAAGCAGATCCCAGAGAAGCCTACAGCAGCTTCAGGGGCACAGGGGCCTAGAGTGAAAAAGTTGAAAGCAGACCAGTGGAAAGCCGCCAAGACTCCAAATAAAGCCTCAGCTTCCAAGCGCAAAAACAACCAAAGCTAAAACGGCCAAGCCCAAGAAGGCTGCCCCCCTGCAGACATTTCTTAAAGGGTCCTAAAAGAGCCACCCAACCAATCCAATGAGCTCTTGGGTAAGAAGTGAGAATACATCTAGGGAGATCAGGTTTCCAGTCTGTGGACAGTAACACGTTACACAGCATCTTTTATAGAAAAGGTGGTTGGCTCTGAAAAGAGCCTTTGGGTTAAGCTAGCACAGGCTCACCAATTTACGCCCTCTCCCCACGAATTCGGCGAGCGAGCTGGATGTCCTTGGGCATGATGGTGACGCGCTTGGCGTGGATGGCGCACAGGTTGGTGTCCTCAAAGAGCCCCACCAGGTAGGCCTCGCAGGCCTCCTGCAGCGCCATCACTGCCGAGCTCTGGAAACGTAGGTCGGTCTTGAAATCCTGCGCGATCTCACGCACCAAGCGCTGGAATGGCAGTTTGCGGATCAGCAGCTCTGTAGACTTCTGGTAGCGGCGGATCTCGCGCAGGGCCACGGTGCCAGGCCGGTAGCGGTGGGGCTTCTTCACGCCGCCGGTGGCCGGCGCGCTCTTGCGGGCCGCCTTGGTGGCGAGCTGCTTGCGCGGCGCCTTCCCGCCGGTGGACTTGCGGGCTGTCTGCTTCGTGCGAGCCATCACAAATTTTAGAAAACAGATAGCTGACGGGAAAACGAAAGTATTCCCTTTGCTATCTGTATATATAAAGAGAATCCTGTTCTGATTGGACAAAGCAGTCTTTCCTCTGCAGTTCCCAACGAAGGTATTGGTTGGTGACGTTCACTGATCACAGGAAACTCCTCTGCATTTACATCAAGTATCGGAATCTTCCTCGATCCTCCCTTTTAATTCCTGGGTGTTTCAACTTTACTCGTCTGTCGCTTCTTTAATCCTTTTTATTTAAAATGTTGCTTGATATTTAGAATGTTATCTAATTATTAGGATGATGTATTTTACATGCTGCATATGTATATATATATAAAAATTTTGGCGCCTGAAATTTGCTTTTGATCAACTTTTTAAAAAGGCGCGCGCTAGATGTGATTGGCCGTCTCCCACGCCCGCCCCCACTTAAGTTCTGAAAGGCTAATTTCACCACACTACCTTGACTTGCCTACTTAAACTTTTAGATTTAACACAGATTTGCCCCAAATGCACCATGACTATTAACTCTAGTAACAGTTCCAAAACTGATACTAAATTAAGTTTCATTAAAATACAAAAAAGCATCCTTCTACCTTTTAGAAGTTAAACTGAAGTTTGTGTAAAATGGTGTTATGAAATAGCCAAATATATAAATGGTATAAAAAATTGCTGTGTGCCCTTTCAAAGTGACGCCAAACACCTTTAAAAGTTCTGCCATAGAACCATCTGAGCTCAGGGAATGGTTTTGATTTCCTACTTAAAATTGATTAGGGACAGCTCAATAGAGCCAGAATTGGCTTGTGAAAAGCAAAAAAACCCACAAATCCAAAAACCTTTATAGCTTGCAAGTGATCCCTTTAAGATGCAGATAACACAAAGCGTGGTCTTACTGCTTTATTAGATTTGGATATTCTACTTATTAAGCACTATGCCTACCAGTATTTCTACCACCTTTTAACAGGTTTGTAAACCGAAGGACTGACTGCTAATGTATTTAAATTACCTGTTAGTGCAAGCTTTCTCCCCAACGTCGCTTAATTTGCTTAAATTTATTATGGCAACCTTAACATGGACTGTAAACCTCACGTTTCTATTTTAGTAGACATCTACTTCTATGTTATAAACTAGCAACTTAAGTACGGAAAATGCAAGCCCTTTTAATGAATAAATGGGTGGCTCTGAAAAGAGCCTTTGGTGAAGAATGACTCCGTTAAGATCCAAGATAGTTATTTTCTGAATTTACTTGCCCTTGGCCTTGTGGTGGCTCTCAGTTTTCTTCGGCAACAGCACGGCCTGGATGTTGGGCAGGACACCACCCTGCGCGATAGTGACTTTGCCCAGCAGCTTGTTGAGCTCCTCGTCGTTGCGGATGGCCAGCTGCAGGTGGCGCGGGATGATACGAGTCTTTTTGTTGTCCCGTGCTGCATTGCCCGCCAGCTCCAAGATCTCAGCGGTTAGGTACTCCAGCACTGCCGCAAGATACACCGGCGCTCCAGCTCCAACTCGTTCGGAGTAGTTGCCTTTACGCAGCAAACGATGAACTCGGCCAACGGGAAACTGAAGACCAGCCCTAGAAGAGCGAGTCTTAGCCTTGGCACGGGCCTTCCCACCCTGTTTTCCGCGACCAGACATCTTCAGACACTGACAGAGCTCTTTAGCACAGAAAACAGAAATAGAGATGTGAATTTTCTTTGCAGATGAGAAGCAATTATACTTGCAGGCCGAATTGTAAATTCCGCTGTTTCATTGGCTATGCCAAGCTTTAAAATGGCAACCAATTGCAAAGAGGACTGGGAATCACCTCATTTGCATACCATGGTACAACCTGGGACAATTTATCCAATCAAAGACTAAGTTTTTCAACACCAGTTTTGCATAGGAGCCCTACAAATATTACCAGCCTTAGAGCAAAGACACATACCATTGTTTTGCAGACAGTTTTATGCTGACATGCCTGAGCCAGCCAAATCCGCTCCTGCGCCTAAGAAGGGCTCCAAGAAGGCTGTGACCAAAGCCCAGAAGAAGGACGGGAAGAAACGCAAGCGCAGCCGGAAGGAGAGCTACTCCGTGTACGTGTACAAAGTACTGAAGCAAGTCCATCCGGATACTGGCATCTCTTCAAAGGCCATGGGCATTATGAATTCCTTCGTGAACGACATCTTCGAGCGCATCGCGGGTGAGGCGTCTCGCCTGGCGCATTACAACAAGCGCTCGACCATCACCTCCAGGGAGATCCAGACGGCGGTGCGCCTGCTGCTGCCGGGAGAGCTGGCCAAGCACGCCGTGTCCGAGGGCACCAAGGCTGTTACCAAGTACACCAGCTCCAAGTAGATTTAACACATTAAATGTCTTCATACTCAAATTCAAAGGCTCTTTTAAGAGCCACCAATTTTTCTAAGCATAAGAGTTGTAATAACTTATGTTTCCTGTGATTTCCTAACGGTGTGGCTTTTTTGTTTTAAAGTGTTTCTGGCTTCCTGTTGTGTGGTGCCAGTACACTCAAGTATATAGGGCCCTTTGGCTGGTTGAAAACAAGATACTGATACTGCACCCAGTTGGTAGCATGTCTGTCTAACTCTCAAGGCCTAGTTGTCTACAGGGCTGCCATGCAAATTTTACTTAATCGTTTCTGTGACGTGTCCTTTGCCAAGTCAAAGGTAAGAACACTAGCAAAATAACACTCATGATCCTGCTGATGATTCTAGCAATCCAGGAAAGGAACAAACAACCTTAAGATATTTTTGTGCCACTTCTTTAAAGCTACTATGTTTCTGTTTTTTCTTCAGGGTTCACCTAGTATCAGCTTTTTATTCCAACAAACAAAAAATGTGATTTTTAGATGAAAAAAATCATTCATGTCACTTCTATTACAACCACCACCTTCCTGTCATATGTACATATATAAAAATACTGAATTTTTACACTTTTTTGTAGTCAAACTTTACTTAAGGTTATAAACTGCCATAAATGGCATTTTATGTAGAATAAATACTGAGAATGTATGTAGAAAATACTTTGGAGTTTCAATTCAGTCAGGAAAAAATGCTATTCTATATTATATAATTTCTTTCAAGACTAACAATTTCTCCGTATCCAACACATAAATGTACAAACATACACATATATAAACATTCAAATAACCAAAACACAAAACATGAAAAATGAAAGCAACCAGAAAAATCTAGAAGAATGAAAACTGAAAATACCAGATAGCTTTCTTTATGTGAAGGTTTACATTGTTATTTAACAGTCAATGTTTGCTGTCTGTCGTCCCAGAAGTACATATCTAAACTAAGGTCTACATCAACGTTAGGGGAGTATGTAAACTTCCTAAAATTACATGCAAAAAATGTGTCCATATGTGGTTCCTCTTCCCAGAGCAGCAATTATGTAGCTTTCTATCAAATTCTAAAAATATTGTGATTCACTGCAATAGACTGAATAATGCCACCCAGTGGTGTTAACATCTGAGTCCCTGGAGTCTGTAAATTCCTGGAGTCTGTTAGGTTACCTGACAAAGGACAATTAAAGTTGTAGATAGAATTAAGGCTACTATTAAGCTGACTTTAAAATAGGGAGATTATCTTGGGTCATACAAATGAATTCAATGTAATCAGAAGGGTCCTTAAAAGCAGAATAAGGAATTTAAATAGAGAAGGCAGAATGAGAAAGATTTGGTCATAGATTTCAAAATAAAGGAAAATGTCCATAAGCCAAGGAAACAGAGTGGCCTCTAGGAAGTGAAAAGGCAAGAAAACAGATTTTAGCTACTTAGGTCTTTAGTTAAAATCAAACTCACACTTTGATTTTAGCTCAGTAAGATCATGACTGAATAGTGATTTATAGAACTATATAATTATAAATTTATATTGTTTCAAATCACGAAGTTTGTGATAATTTTTCAAACCAGTGATAGGAAATTAATACACCTGCATGTTTAAGAATTATTAATACATTAAATAATCTTTAAAATTATACATATTTAAATTTAAATATGTAAATACTTAAAATTATTATAGATACATGTAAATTCTTCCTAAATAGTCAAAGCTTGCATGATTTTGAAATTGCTCTGATTCTTAACAGTATCAATTTATATTTCCTTTTTGGTTGGTTTCTAGGGTATCCGATTCTGTTTTTAGAGCAGAAGTCTAATTTTTTGGAGGAGCAGCCTGTAATCCTAGCTCTCTGGGAGGCCGAGGCGGGCGGATTACTCGAGGTCAGGAGTTCAAAACCAGCCTGAGCAAGAGCGAGACCCCGTCTCTACTATAAATAGAAAGAAATTAATTGGCCAACTAAGATATATATATAAAAAAAATTAGCCGGGCATAGTGGCGCATGCCTGTAGTCCCAGCTACTCGGGAGGCTGAGGCAGTAGGATCGCTGAGCCCCGGAGATTGAGGTTGCTGTGAGCCAGGTTGACGCCACGGCACTCACTCTAGCCTGGGCAATAAAGTGAGACTCTGTCTCAAAAAAAAAAAAAAAGAAGAGGCAGATTGACTGAAGAATAGTCAGACAAATTTATTTAACGTATATGCACAGGAGTCTTCAAAATGAAGATCCAAAGATACAGAGAAAATTCTCTATTTTTATATTTAGGTTCTACAAAGTATGTATATCTGTGTAGAAATATGACTGGACAAAAAGGGTATGATTTAATACTAACAGACTGAATGGGGGGTATCCCAGCAAGGCATGTCTGTCTAGCATGATTCTTCTGGGCCTGAGGAGAGGTTCCTTCCTTGGGAGTTCGGGCAGGACCCTCTCAGGAATGGGCATCTTGTGACCTACATTCAAATAATATAGGTCAGATAATTTCTTTATGGCCAGTCTTTACACAGAAAGGCATAGGGAAAGTTAGAGTAATATTTTTAGGTTTTATGGCTGGCTTTGGGAAAAGGGGTGTCTGGTTTCTATTAATACAGGCAGCCTTGGGGAGGAGGGATTCTAGTTTGTATGACTAGCCTCAGGAGAGAATGGGACCGAAAGTCAGGAGGGTAGGAGAAAGTTTTGCTACTGAGGCTGCTTCTAAGGCCTTTTTTTGGGGTATTGTTTTCTGAGTCCCTATATTACCTTCTATTTATAAAGCCTGAGGGAAGTAGGCTATTTTAATATCATGGTTGTGACAGATTGCCAAGTCTCTTTGGAATAAGGTTGTTACCAGAATCAAAGAGAAAACGGAAATATAGGGGAAAAACCGCCCTTAACACACTAGTAAATTACTGGGTGTAGATGTTTGGGGTGCCTAGATATTAAAATGAGCATTGCAAATTTTAATAAACGGGGAATGAAGAAAAAGAAGCCAGAATGGAACATGGGCGACCTGGGGGCGAGCGAAAATTCTACCATAGAATCACGAAGTAACCAAGTCTTTTGCTTCCGGAAGAAAACTATGGACAGATTTCCTTTGGCTTAGTGATGGAGAAGGTGAAATCTTGCAATTTTCAAACTTTCATAGTAGGGTTTCGGTCTGCAGGGACTTTACAGCAGGAGCAGAAAGCATTATGTATATGAGACATGGCTGGGCTCTTAATTTAACCGAGCTTGCTCCAGTTCCTAATGTGTGAACCAAGGCCCCTGTGCAATCGTCTTAAAGAATCCCAATCAGCAAATGATAATAATTTTAATTTCTTTTTTTCCCCCCGTGTTATGTAGTTAAAAGGGCTCGAAATTCCTATCCCGGTACTTATGACTTGCAGGATACGCCCAGGCTGAGAGCGCTCTCTGCCGGCCAGGACTGGAGATGTTGTTGACGTCATCTCGGATGGGCTGCGAGAGGTGGGGCCAAACGAAAGTTCCTGTAGGCGCATCCTGTTCTCAATGAGGTCCGCACACCGTGCATATAAATGTATTGAGTGTTTGCCTTCTGCAGTTGTCCGTGAGTGGTCTCGGTAGTTGCTTCGCCATGTCTGGTCGTGGTAAAGGTGGAAAAGGTTTGGGCAAAGGGGGTGCTAAGCGTCATCGAAAGGTTCTGAGAGATAATATCCAGGGCATTACCAAGCCTGCTATTCGGCGCCTGGCTCGGCGAGGCGGCGTTAAGCGTATTTCTGGTCTCATCTATGAGGAGACTCGTGGAGTTCTGAAAGTTTTTCTGGAGAATGTGATTCGCGACGCCGTCACTTACACCGAGCACGCCAAGCGCAAGACCGTAACAGCTATGGACGTGGTATATGCGCTTAAGCGACAGGGGCGTACCCTCTATGGTTTTGGCGGTTAGTCTCCAGATCGCACAATCTAAGGTATCCAACCAAAGGCCCTTTTCAGGGCCACCCACATTTTCCGAGAAAGAGCTAGCATGTTAAGTGTTCTTGTTCTACTACTTAATGATTTCGGCTATAACAACATACCAGGCTGTGTTCTCAACCTGTTTGAAGGTAATTTGTCTGCTTACAGGTGGCATTGAAGATTTTAAATTTTTCAGTTCTCAGTTTTTTGTGTTTTCATGTAGCTCTTGTACTGTAGAGGGAGTGTTGACAAGAAAGCCAGCTCTCGGCTATGGGCCTGACAAAAGCCAGTTCGTGAGCAAAGGCCAATTAGGATAAGATTATGTCTGCCAGAGCCTAAGTCCAGGCGGTATGCGCCGCTACTTTTATCTAGACAACTACTAGTGTACGAAGGGCACTAGGGTAACAAGTAGAAAGTTCACGTGAGGAGGGTATACAAGTATTGTTTCGTATATACTAATGCATTTCTGACTTTCGGTTACGAAAACTAGAAATGGCTAATGCTCGATGAACAACAGAAGTAACGATAGCTTTTGTTTTTTAAAATAGTATACAGACAGGCTTCAGGACATTTCACCCCAAAGTATTAAGTATGTAATATGTAAAATTCCTGCGTAATGTCACACCTAAAACCAAATTTCCTAAGATCGTGTTAAAATGTACACAAACAGGCAGACGAAATGAATTCACTATGGCCAAAATGAGACAAACCAAAAAAATAATAAAAATTTCATGGCTAGCAAAATAAGAGATAGTCACGTACTCCTGGTATTATTAATTGCCATACGGGTTCTTTCCTGCAATTAAGCAGAAGCCAGCTCCTGGGAAGCATTTCCAAAACCACAGCTGGAAGATACAACCAACCATTTGATACACCAGCCACAGGCAAGCAAACAAATCCCCTCTCCCCGCCTGGCAGTCGTGCCACAACTCTGATTGGACAGAGAACTGTCATAAACCTTCGTTACTCATAAATGATGTAGAGCTTAAGCCAGTTGCAGCTGACCTGTAGAGACTGCGCACAAATGGTCTTCGTGCTCTGCAGCTCACCTATTTACACAAAGAGCCAGATTTCACCTCATTTCAATGCTAAAAGCCCACTCCAAAGTGATCGTGGGTTTGTATGTTACATACATGTTTAACATGCTCAAGCGCCTGACTTCAACCATGAATATTCATAGGTTATTATCAACCTTAACATTCACGTGAAACTATAAGGCTTCTATACCTGCTCCCCCCTCCCTTCTGCAAAGCGTATACTTTCGGATTTTCCTGAAGCCACGTTTTCCCATCCTGGGATTGTTTCTACCTCTGAAAATAAAATCTTTCCTTCCTCCATGGCTCTTATATTTTGTTAATGCCTGGTCTACGCTGGATGGAGTCTGAAGTGACCCCTGATTCCACCCCCGCCCACCGTCCCCACGTTGCCTCTGCCAACGATAGGCAAGAACCTTTTTGAAGTTTAGTTTTGCCCAGGACACGCTGGGAAAAAATTAGGTAAGCCCTATAGGATCTAAATTTTCCCGCTTTTAAGCTGAAATCTAGGAGACTATTTTCTTTCAGAAAGTTCTGTCATCCTGGTTTGGGCTAGACCTAACAGTTAACTCTCAAGGTCCTGGCAGGGAGGAGGTGGGGCACACTGCAGTTGCGCTAGAAAGTGAGTGCTATAGTAATTTACCCACCAAGGGAACTGGTCATTTCAGGAATTCCATTGTCTTACATGTTTAAAAACTATGGGAAAAAAATTATGAATATTGGAGATTTGGTAGGGGTGCCTAGCCCCAGTGAAACAGAAAAGTAAAAAAAAAAAAAAAAAAAAAAAAAACAGGAAGAAACTCCACACCAGGAGCTAAGTTTGCAAAAATTGGCTTTTGTGACTTCTGTTGCTTGCTTGCACAAATAGGCCTGCACAGGAAAGAATAGATCAGCTCAGACTGCCATACATGACCCCAGCTTGCCCAAAGACCTAGCTGGAGATTAGAGATAAACACATTGTAACTGTGCCCTTCATCCTCCTTAAGAAATGTATAAAAGACTGTTTGTTACAACCCTTGCTTAGGGCTCAGAATTTGGACCCTGTCCTCTGAGCCTCAGCAGTGAATAAACTCTCGTCTTCTTCCTGGCATGGTCTCTGGGTCAGTCATTAGAAGGATCCTCCTCTTCTTGCAACAGGGATGCTGGATAAAAATAATCTGGGATAACTTAAAGCTTTGTTCGTCACAATAAGAAACTTTTGATCTGCCTAAATGACTTTATCTGCACGTGCAATTAGAACAGAGAGGATTCTGAACCTCTCAAAGGCAGTGGGGAATTTTTTCATTGGTATTTTGAGAGCACTAAACGAAACCAAGAATTTGTACTTGCCTCTTTAAAAGAGACTAATTCAGAACTTAATCAGCATCTTCAAAAGCTTGAAAGTCCTCCAGAATCAGACCTTAAACTTAAAACTGAAAAGGACACTGTGCCTTCTTGCCATCCTCCTTGTGCTCCTCCACCACCTCCCCTGGTCTGTTCCCATCTTATCACCGCTCTCTTCACTCTCTGAACTGTCATTTTTTCCTTCACATTACCTTGGAGAACCACTCTCTCCGCTTGCTAATTTTGCACCCATCCTATCATGCCATTTAAAGTGATTGCTAACTACAGGCGTCCAGACTCCCTCTTACTGTCCTTGGACAAAGTCTGAGCTTTTAGCTTTAGTAAGATTTTCTTAACCCTAGAACACTCCCTTGAGTTTGAATGCCATTTTAGTTTGATTAGGAATGTATACTACCAGGCAGGATGTATTGCTGCTTATCAGTTAATTCATACGTTAGTGGGAAATAACCAACTGCTGTGGGTCTGTGTTAAAAGCAAAATTATGAACTGCTAGAATAAACCTGTAAACCTAGCTGCAGCCAAACTACACACCTGTGTTGTACTCCTCTAGCCCAGGAGTCTGTGTACCTGTAAAAACAGCTATGCTAGTTAGAAATAAGTGTTACAACCTCCTATAAATGGGGATATTTTAACTGTAACCCTAAGGCTTATAAATTACCTGTGTAATTGGAATCTGTTAAATATTTCACTGACATGTAATTGTCACAAGCTTATTTAGTATAAGTCTCTCTATATATATAATATTAGGAACTATTCAATATGCATGTAAAATAGACTCTATATACCAGCTCCTACCTCCTTTCTGCTAAGGGTGTACTTTTGGACTTTCCCAAAGGCCACATCACTCCAATCCTAGGATCTTTTCTCCCTCTGAAAATAGTCTTTTTCATTCCTTTTTTTCTATGGATTTCATGGTTTTTGTGAACAAGCTACATGCAGTCCACATTAAAAACATCCCAGTTATGTTCCAAATGTCTTAGATATCTGGTTTGTTCTGAAGAAACTCAGGAAATTTCACCCCAGAATATGACTCCTTGGTATAAAGACTATTTTGAATTAAAGACCTTTAGAGATCAGCAGGACTTATAAGGGGCTTTCTGTCTATCTGCATAAACCAGACATACACATCAAAAAGAACAATTGGGCTGGGCCCAATGGCTCACACCTGTAATCCTAGCACTGTGGGCGGCCGAGGCAGGAAGATCACTCAAGGTCCACAGTCCGAAACCAGCCTGAGTAAGAGCGAGACCCTGTCTCTACTAAAAATAGAAAGAAATTAATTTGACAACTAAAAATATATAGAAAAAATATTCACCAGGCATGATGGCGCATGCCTGTAGTCCCAGCCACTCGGGAGGCTGAGACAGAAGGATTGCTTGAGCCCACGAATTTGAGGTTGCTGTGAGCTAGGCTGACGCCATGGCATTCTAACCCGGGCAACAGAGTGGGACTGTCTCCAAAAAAAAAAAAAAAAGAAAGAAAGAACAATTGACTTCCCAAAGATAAGGAAAACCCCCATCTATTACTTGGTGGTGCATGGTGCATCAGCCACTGGAGACCCCCCACTCCTCACGGAAGACACACATCAGCATAATACTAACCGATTATCTGGCCCAGCAACTAATCTATTACCTGATGCATGAGCATAACACTAAACCTATTACCTGATGCACTAAACCTATTACCTATTACCCTAATACTAACCTATTACCTGGCAGGCCTTAACAACCTGATACCCCACCCCTCAGACTACCCCCAACTTAATAAAAGTGGAAAAACTTGGGTAGACGGGGCTCAGAATTTGGTGGAGAGACCCCTCTGAGCCCACCAGCGAATAAACTTTGATTCTTCGACTCTCCGTGTTCCACTCGGTTGGTCCTCCAGGACCACCCTCTATAACACTTGCTGTAACACCTTCCCCTCCCTGTTATCTCAACATATTGCCTGAAAGAAGATCAAGCATGCCAAATAATTTTAAATATAATACCTGTCTCTTAAGTCAATTTATAAGTCAATCTGTTCCCGCATCCATTCATTCTTACAAGTATATATTCATCCTCCCTAGCAAACCATTTATTTCCCCTAAACAGAAGTACCTATATTCCTCATCTCCCCCTTGCCTCTTAAAGGAGGGTATATAAATTTCTGGACCCCACCTGAATATTGGGGAATCACTCTGTGAGTCTTTCCCTGTGCATGGTAACTAAACCTCTTTCTCTTATCATTCTGCTTTATTTTGAGTTGATCTTTCAGCGAACTTTTGGGTGAAAGGGGAAGTTTGCTATGTCACCATACCAAAGGCGTACAATGTTTGCTTTTTTTAAATTGAAGATGATAGACCAATTACTGGCTTAGAGGGATATTTCCAAATCAAGTTTTTCCTTTGTGGCCAGCAAATAATCTGTAGGGTGCTATGTTGAAATCAGGAAAGTCAACAGAGTTATTTTGAATATTATCTTTTTTAAAAATAGGCAAAAATATAGAAAGAATCAGAGCCACTGGTTTGAAGAGAAAAACCGATTTGAGGATGTTAACTTAACAACAACAATAACAAAAATAATGTAGAGAGAGAGAGACAGAGAGAGCACATAGCATTGTAATGAGCTCCA